CTCAGCCTCCTGAATAGCTGGGATTGCAGGCGCCTGCCATCATGCCCGGCTAATTTTTTGTATTTTCAGTAGAGACAGGGTTTCACCATGTTGGACAGGCTGGTCTTGAATTCCTGCCCTCAGGTGATCTGCCCGCCTCGGCCTCCCAAAGTGGTGGGATTACAGGCGTCGGCCACGACGCTCGGCCGTAAATTCTTTTAATCATTTAGTTTCAACATTCCTATGAACTAAATATCTATTTGGCTAACAATCTCAGAAAACTACTTCCTAATAGATTTTAAACAAATAAATGCTAGAAAAATTATTGAAGTGTGTGGTATGAGTCTTAGTAGCAAATTTTATTACATGTTGGGGACTGTTTTTTTGGTAAAACATCCAAAACTAAAGAAAGAAAATATTTTACATGCAAACATTTGCTTTCTGCACAACCATTTGGCAACACATCCATGGCAAGTTTAAAAATGCAGGCGCTACAGTCTAATTGTGGTCCATCGGTATGTTTCACTTGCCTTCGTAAATTATGTCAACATGTAAAATTGCGGAGACTCATATACAAATCTGGATTTTAGGTTTCTCTTAAGAATCAAATCTGGTGTCCCTTCCCACATCACTGTTCGGTCTGATGTGCAGAGGCTACCCCTTTCTATGACGCCTGTGTTCTCCAGTTTGCTGTGGTGTCCACCGAGGTACCTCACTTAGGTCACCCCCTTTGCCCTTGTAAGCATTTGACAACTCTCGTCTTACAGTATATTTTGATAAAGATGTCAAGGCTTTCAAGACAGTTTCTATTTGTGTATAATATATAACCTATATTTTATATGAATCCCTTAGCACCAGAGTTGAATTTTAAAATTTAGAAGTTTTAAAAAAACCTGCTAAATTCTATATTCTTTTTATTTATGGTAAATATTCTTTGTATTTAACTCTTATTTTTTATATTTGCCATCACCACCTTTGCATTAGCATGCCTTTAAGCATTTCTAGGTTATTCCTGGCTGTAACTGGATGTGTTACCCATATGGTAGAGTAAACATTCTTTGCAATGCAGCTTAAGAAACACTTGTCTAGACGCAATAATTTAGATCATTAATAAAAACCCTTGAAGCTTTTACTAATATGTCTTAAGATCTGGGAATACAGAGATAAAAGATAAAGCCACTGCCCTCAAGAAGCTCTTGGTTTACATGGAAAACAATAAAATCATTACAATATACTATGCTAAGTGCTATGACAGAAGCAAAGACTATTGGAACTGGTGTTGAAGTGAGTTTTGGAGATGACCAGAGTTCATGTGGTGAGGCGGAGGAGGAGGGGTTTTTCCAAGGGAAGGAACAGCACACAGGAAAGCAAAGAATAATAAAAAGGAAGGGACTTACTTACTTACATAAATATAAGGTTTCCAGTTCAGTTGAGAAATATGTAATGTTGTGAATTATCAGTTACTCTTGCTGTTTTACAGGATGAACTCACACCATTTTTGCTAGCTGTGAATGAACAAAAACAGCAAATGGTAGATTTTTTAAGAAAGCAAAAAGAAAATTTAAGTGCATCTAAGTTTGAAAGGTACAGTAATTAGTTCTTTTTTTAAAACGTGACTGATATTCCACAATGATAACAGTCTCTATAGTTAGAAATATTAGATTAATAAGAAGATTAACTTGTAATTATTGTGATATAGTAAAAGATATCAACACAAATCATCTGTTAAATAGAAAAACAATTATTTGGGCTGGGCAACATAGAGAACAGTATGTAGTAGGATTCATCTTCTCTTATTATATTGACTGGGGTTTGTTATTTGTAATGTGATGTTTTTGGTCATGTGACCTGACCAAAGTGTTTTTATATTGGTTTTATTAGTTGTATGAAGTGTGGATTTTAACTTTAATATACTTTAAGATTTAATAAATATTGAACTTCTTAACCCTTTTATAGTAGTTTTTAACCTCTGCTTCTTACAAGCTCTTCCTTTAAACATGCTGTGTTAGACATAAATAGGAGTTGAAAATCATTTGTTCTTCTAGATGACTCTTTAAGTTGCTTTCTTTGAAAAATAGTGGCCGGGCGCGGCGGCTGAAGCCTGTAATCCCAGCACTCTGGGAGGCCGAGGCGGGCGGATCACGAGGTCAGGAGATGGAGACCATCCTGGCTAACACGGTGAAACCTCGTCTCTGCTAAAAATAATACAAAAAACTAGCCGGGCGAGGTGGCGGGCGCCTGTAGTCCCAGCTATTCGGGAGGCTGAGGCAGGAGAATGGCGTAAACCCGGGAGGCCGAGCTTGCAGTGAGCTGAGATCCGGCCACTGCACTCCAGCCCGGGCGACAGAGCGAGACTCCGTCAAAAAAAAAAAAGAAAAATAGTAATGTTAAGCTACTCCTACGTGGCTGTTAATTGCTATTACCAGATACTGTGGATTCATTAGCTTTTTCTATTTTATTTCTAGTGTATTTTGATGTTTTAATTTAATTTTATTTATTTTTTTAGGCAGAGTCTCACTCTGTCGCCCAGGCTGGAGTGCAGTGGTGCGATCTCAGCTCACTGTAACCTCCACCTCCAGGGTTCAAGGGATTCTCCTGCTTTAGCCTCCTGAGTAGCTGGGACTACAGGCGTGTGCCACCATGCCCAGCTAATTTTTTGTATTTTTAGTAGAGATGGGGTTTTACTATGTTAGCAAGGATGGTCTTGAACTCCTGACCTCAGGTGATCCACCCACCTCGGGCTCCCAAAGTGCTGGCATTACAGGCGTGAGCCACCGCACCTGACCCTGATGTTTTTATTTATAATTGCTATGGGCAGAGGAAGAAAATACAGCTTTAAATGAGTAGCTTTTTTTTTTCTAATGAAGACAAGCCATAGGTGGGTGAAAAAGAGAAAAGAGCTAGGCTTTAGATTCACACAAGACTGGGTTTAAGTCCTAGCTTTCTCACTTGCTAGGTGTGTGACCTGGGAACATTACTTATCACCAAATATGTTTTTCTATATGAAAAGGAGGATAATAATACATCCTTCAAGGGTGGTTGTGTGGAAGAAAGATTTTATATGTATATGTATATATAGCATTTAATTCAGTGCCTAGCACATGCATATGGGCATCATTAACTGACACTGCTATGATTATTATTATTACTACCATTAGTATTAGTATTGTTGTTTTCTGCCTGCAGGCGGCTCTTACTTATCTGACCCCTAGCTGATTTTGAATTACAATGTATCTGTCTTTAAATCTTTGCCTACATTAGATAAGTGATCTCAGCAAAGTTTCTTGCTCATCAAAGGACTTTAAGTTAGCAACTTCTATGATGTAATACCCTAATGGGACAAGAGGCTTTTTTTTTTCTTTTTTTTTTTTAAAGCATTGGTGGTAATTTACGAAGACGAACACTTGAGCACCCAAGATGCTTATGTTTGTTAGTACATGTAAATGTTTAATTCTACATGGACAGGCAAAATATTAAATTGGTAAAGGATACCAAATTAGCTTTTTAAATAACTTTCTTAAAGTTCCTAAGAAAGAATTTATCTCTCTGGTTTTAAAACAGCCCTCGTTCTTGTTGTACATTGTGAATCAGCAAGTATAGTCAGTATTCTTCAGCAAAATGCTGATGTGTTTTCCCAAGATATATCTAGATGGGCTGCAGAAGATTATGCCATTTTTAGTCCTTTTAGTAGGCAAGTTTTTACATTAGAAAGCTAGTTTACACTAAATTGAGGTTTAAAATAATTATGGTTCTTGCATCCTATACACCAGGTGAGATTTTATAGTTTAATTCAGGTTGTTTTGGAGTGACAGTGAGTTAGTCCACTTTATCAACCAGAAATCAGGCAAAAGGCTAGACTGGTTAGAAATATCAATGGGTGCAGAATTCTTTATCTGAGGACTTTTGAGATCTTTATCTTAGAGATCCCAACATTGTCCCTTTTACTCCAAGTATAGCCACATGCACAGGATAAAAATAATGCCACATCTCTCATTTCTCTAATTAATTATTTGGGTGTTGAAATGTTCAGTTTAGCAGAAAATCTCGTACTATCTTTTGAGGGCTATCTCCTATTCCCTCCTCCTTTAATTTTTCAAGAACCTAAGGGGTTTCTAAGTCCAAGAAGGATAAAATGACACTCTTTTACCAGTCAGAAGGAAGGGAAGAAAAGGACATTCTAATCATTCTGCTGTTTCCATTGATTCTTTTCCTGAATTATTGCCATTAAAAGGGGTTCTGCTGTCTGTTAATGCTTGACTTTTCCCACCAGGATTCGCTTACTAATTCAGAGCCCTCAGTTTTCATGGTGATTCATACATAGACTTCATAGCTATAACTTTTTTAGTTCACATACATATATGCTCAGCCATTGTTCCCAAAGCATCAGCATCCTGCTCTGACAGCTGGGCATCCTAGCTTTAGCCACACACATAGTGAGAAAATTGACCAACCTTCCCCCACACTCAAAACCTTATGTGGAGCCCACATCTTAGCCTAGACTTAGCTGAGGCCTTCATGGTAAGTTATCCTTTGAGGCCCTTGTTTGTCTTTTCTCTATTAAATGTTAGTTGAGATTGTTCTAAACTGTCAAAGAGGTTAAATAATGTTGCAGAAAGAGAACAGTGTTTTCTTACTCCATTGTTACCAGATCTGTACTCTGAGGTTCCTTTATATGCTGGTTAGCGTATTTTCTTAGGGAGTGGAAGGTTCTATATTATCCTTCCTCAGAGCAGTGGTGCCAATTTTTCTGTTTTCTTTTTTTTTTTTTTTTTCAATTTGTGGTTTTATCTTCAAGTGATCTGATTTCCATAATAATGAAAATCTCCCAAGTTACTTGCATTTCTTTCTTTCTTTCTTTTTTTTTTTTTGTGAGATGGAGTCTTGCTCTGTTGCCCTGGCTGGAGTGCAATGGTGTGATCTTGGCTCACTGCAACCTCTGCCTCCCGGGTTCTAGCAATTCTCTCACCTCAGCTTCCCAAGTAGCTGGGATTACAGGCGTGTGCCACCACACCTGGGTAATTTTTGTATTTTTAGTAGAGA